ATGATATAGATATAGATATAGATATAGATATAGATATAGATATAGATATAGATATAGATATAGATATAGATATAGATATAGATATAGATATAGATATATACTGCACATGTATCTATTTTCTTTTTAGAACAATGCATTCCCCCTAAACAGTTGCCACATGGTCATGTGACTTATGACTCTGGGAGTAATTTCATAGATGGTGACAACATTTCATTTAATTGCGATATGGGGTATTATCCTGAACACCATTCACCAATAGCCACATGCAGAAATAGTGACTGGTTTCCCACTCTGAGCTGCGTCTCTACAGGTAAACATCACTTAGCAAAACTAACAATTTGGGAGTCCTTCCATTTTGCAAGCAAAACATCTTTTTCTTCTTCCACTAGAATCTGAGGAGGGGTTTATTGAATTTTTAACAGAACTTACAGAATGAAAAAGTGGTTCTCTTTTTGCAGAGATCTGGATTAATTTAGGGCTTATTCAATGGTCAGATCAAAAAATATTTAGTTGAAAATAAGCATGGTGGGGGAAAGAAAGATCCTGACAGTTGATAGGAAAACAAGTTGGGGAGAAAGCATCCTCTGGAGACTGAAAAGGTTACTAGAAGAGAAAAGAGGTACAATATTGATAGCCAAATCTGGTCCTAGGTTCTGCCTCAGTTACCTTCCTAATAAGCACCAAGTCAGAAGATCATTTAAAATCAGTTTATTAGGGAACCCTGATAAAGTGGGATCTCCCTATGAAAAGGGAGAACCCGGGACCTATCGTACTTGCCTTTGTAAAGTTAACCCAACAAAGAAAATGCAAGAGGGAAGTTGATCGGACAGCATAAAAGTAACCCTCATTTGCACAGTAAATCAACTACAAGGTTGTTTGAAGTTAGATAACCAGATGCCAGTTGACACTAAGAATTTTTTTCTTATCAAGAAAAAGCCATCCTTCTGTAGCTTATCTTTTCAGTTTAGGAATGTTAGGAGCTATTCAATCAATCCATACATTCATAGGATCAGAAATGCTACTACATTCCAGTCTAAACCTTATCACGTCATTTTAAAAGACACAAGAGTAAGTCAAATTAAAATACAAAGTAATTATGTTTAAAATAACAAGCGAAATACAATTAAAAGTAACTATATTGCTAACAAATTACAAAGTCTGTGTCATGTGCCCACCAGTATTGAATAATATAGAATAATAATAAAGTAGGACATAGAAATTATTCCAAATTTGTTAATTGTTTTCATTTTCATTCAGCAATATCTGCTTTTTCAGCATTCTTGTTCCTTATTTCGCTATTTCTGTTTTCAAAAGAGAAGGAAGTTTTACCATGGTGTTATTTCTTTCTCTCCCAGTTCACAGATATAAAGGGCAATAACTAGCTAGAACTATTCTTACTGAATCTAAGTTTCAACGTGTCTGTTCCCAAATCATCGTGTATGCATTGTTTATTTTACAGATATTCATCCATCAACTGGGTGAAAGACCGTTCATCCACTCTCCTCTTTCTTCTCCAACCACTCTAGAAGAATGACAGGTAGCAGCCTGCTCTTTCTAATCCTATTAGCATGATTTTGATAGCTTATTACATAGATGCCATAGGCAGAATCCTACTGGAGAAAGATTCAACTTTAAAAGCTAAATAACCCCTGTATAATAAACTCAAGGCAATCCATGGTTTATAAATCTGAGATATACAGCACAGAAGTCACAACTTGCAAAAAATAGTTCTAAGATGCACCGATTCTTTGTATCATCAATTTGTATCTTTATTTACTGCTTTCTCTATGTTTGAATAATAACTGAATTCACTAAACTACTTTCAAATGCATTAAATCATCTTTATTTTGTGCTCTTTTGGTTACATAAAGAAATAACCAGCTTTGGGTCTTAGATTTTTATCAATGGACCAACATATTTATAATGGCTTTTTCTAGTTAATGAATCCCCTGGAAGTTTTATTAAATGTTCTCTATCAATATATGTATTTCTCTTCTGTAATTATAGATGACATCATCTAGATATAAGGTACTTGCTGTTATTCCTGTTAAGCACGTGGGAGCACTCTGCCAAATATTCAAGCATATACCACTTGAAATAATGCTGCACTCCAAGCACAATTTTATTTGTAAAATAAAACCAGGACTCTGTAGTATCCCTGTAGTGAAAGTTTGTATTCCATTCTCAACCGAAAGATGACTTTACAAAAGCTGAATTACAGAATAGTGCAACCGATGCCATTTTCCCCACCTCTACAGATTCATATAGATGAAGAAGAAGGTTTTCGTAGGTGAACTTTACCAGCAATTAAATAATACTGGTATACAGATTCTCATGTGTTTTTATATTATATGTATTTATATATACAGACACACATTGTTAATTTGTCCTGTGAGGAACAGATATATTTCTGAAATAAATATGTTAAAAACAGCAGCAAGCATTATTTACCATTTTGAGGATTTAAGCATCTTATAAATTAAAGCTTTCTATAGCGAAATCTACTTATAGCAGAAAAACCAGCTAATTGATTGTTTTATGGTGGAAATCGTCCTCTGCCTGCAGACACATTGGCTTGCCAGTGGATGGTGTGTTTAACTAATAGTACTTTTGTTGTTGTTATTGTTGTTCTAATATCTCAGGTGTCTTTGAAGCTCAAAATGCTACTGGTCCACAGCATTAACAAATGTTGTAACTAAACCTTGCCATTGGTTATATTTAGTAGATTTAATATTAAGTTAATAGACTGAGAAGATCTCCCTTCCATCTCATTGTATTGCTTCCTATTTTACCCAGTCTTTGTTAACTAGCTCTTGTTTTCAATATTTTAACATTTTAATAGTGATATTACTGTTTTTATGATGATTAAGCCACCTAGAGTTGCTTGACAGTGATATGCAGTGAGATACAAATTTAATAAGTAAACACATTTTTTTTTAAAAAAGTCTCTTAGTATAAAGTATGATAAAAAAATAATAATAACCACCCTCTATCAATTGGTTCAAAGTCAGTATCTTTCCACCTTCACTCAATTGAGTGTTTTTATTAGATATTCCATCCCAGGACTTTCTGAGTGACAGAATTGCTTCCAGAGGTCTCAGAGTATTAGTACAGCAGCCCCCAAACATTTGGGCACCAGGGACCGGTTCTGTGGACCAGAGTGGGAGGGATTTTGCATGCTCCCTGCATCCACGGATGGGGACTTGCTTGTTTGAACAGCCCAATTTCTGGCATGCCACGCCAGTACATGAATGGATGGGTTGGGGACCTCTGTTTTAGTATATGTAGATCTTAACAGGAGAAAATAGGCATCATTAGGTTCGTTTTCAGGCTATACTCAACCAATATTGAAAACAGAAATGTTTTAGTAATAAACACAACATATGTTAGCCAGATAACATTATGGGAAAAGTTGGTTTTCCTGACATTTGTTGACGATATACTTACTCGGGAGCAATTCCTTCCAGCTTCTTTGTAGGTAACGCAAGAATAGATGCTAAATGGTTGAAAATTTCAATAATAATTGAAATTTTACAATAATTTTGCCTCTGGTCATATTCTGTTAAACACAGAGAATATCCAGCTACTGATCACTAACAAAGAATATGAGTTCCACATCACATTTTGTCTCCTACATTACAATCACTTCAGAAAAGGCTTTTGGTTTTCCTTTCTGCACTTTAAAATTAGGATTTATTTCTATATCTTTTCCTTTGGGATTCAGACTTTCCCTGTGTTTATGGATTTTTACTTTCCTGTCAAAGGGATGGTTAAGGACTAACATTTGAGTTTAGCAGGTGTTCAGAAGACAGCATGCAATCATCTTGTTGCACCATTTTGGCATCACTTGCATGCATAATTTCTTGGGATTTCATCACTGTTCTGCTCTGGGAAGAAAGTTAGCAATAGCAATAGCAGTTAGACTTATATACCGCTTCATAGGGCTTTCATAGTTCCCTATGTCTGTGGTAAGCACTCATGGCATGGACCCAAACGCAGGAAGAAACTCTGGGATGAGATTCAAGGTGGAATTTCATGAGTAGAAATGATCTCCTTGGTCCTCTTTTTTGAAATTAGGTGCCCAGGGAGAAAATTCCTGATGCCAGTGAAAGCATGCGTAACAGAGAATGAACTACAATTTCATTTTGAAAGCAAATATGGATGCCTGGAAGTAATTTGGGATGAAATGTTATGATTAGAAATGGTCCTTCATCCTCTTTTTAAAAACTTGACAATTTGAGTCCCTGAGAAGAACTGGAGAACTTGAGGAATTGGTTCTGTTGTGGAGGGTGGATAGCACTGGCTGTGCTCCAACAACTCACCCGCAAGGCCGTGTTTTGTACCTGTGGCAATGGTTGGTGGCCATAAAATGCCATAGGATAGCTAGTTCCTCAATGTTAGGGATATGTAAACCATTTAATTTGGAAAAGTTTCAAGTACAAACTTTGGAAAAAAAAAACCTTCTGCATGTGAAGCTACCATTTCTAGTATTTTTCTTCTTCTGTTATATTTATTTTATTTTAATCACTATAATGTAAGTAACTTTCCTGCAAAGGTAGAAGTTGCAAACACCATTTCTTCACATGTTTACTGAGAATAAAGACCTTTTGAAAAGTCTTGCTCCTCTCTTTCCAAGCTCAAAAGCAAGTCTCACTAAATGTAATGCAGTATCATCAGAGTACGTCTTCCTTGCAATGAATTAAAGAACCTATTTGGTGCACAAATTATGCAATAGGATTTTTCTAAAGAAAAGAATGATGGGAGCCCATTTCAACCATTTCGATATCAGTATTCATGGATCATTCTCTTGAATAATGCTACATAAAACTTGATTGAGTTTGTTCTCGAAAGCATATTTTCTCTGCATTGTCTGCAGCTGTTCACAATGGATCTTGAAGATAACCTACTTTATAAAAGCTGCATTTGAGCAATTATTATTATTTGTAAAATAATGTAGTTTTCAACAAATATATAGCCCATCTTTAAGTATTATAATGTAAAGTGATGTACATTTTAAAAATGTACTGAAAGTCAATAATGTATACCTTTTATGTATAAATGTTTAGCTAAGGCATTTGATTAATGAGACTTTCCAGTCATCAGCCCTTCTTAATTAAATGACAATAGAATATTGACACAGATTTTATTTAATTATAGAAACACATTACATGAATAAAACTTGTGTGCAAAAATAATTTTCATTTTTTATTTTCAAAAGATACATAAATTCTCAAAGACATTAGCCAAGATGAATAGTATCATGGTGATGATTGCATTTAATGGTTTAATCATGGCCTACGCATACAAAGTCCTTCAGAAATATAACACTTTTATTCACAAAGAGCATGTGTATATGTATGTGTGTGTGCATATGTGTGTGTGTATTTATGTATGTATGTATCATGTATGCATGTATGTACCATCGATCTGTCTGTCTGTCTGTCTGTCTGTATGTATGTATGTATGTATGTATGTATAATTTAAACAGCCTTTATCACTAGCTCCTGGCAATAAATTTCACGATGTTTACCAAAGCTCGGGGACAAAGTCCTCCTCATACTAAATATTGGAAATCCTACTTCTTACTTTGTCTATCCTGCAATAAATCATCCTGCCTTTCACTTTTCTAAAGTTCAGTTATCTAATATTCAGACATTACACTCGAGTCCTGCCATAGACAAAAGAGAAACTCTTGCATTCTTCTGCCATACATTCATCCTATCACCAAAACTATAATGAAGATATATTGTAGGGTAGGCAGAAAGCATTATAGAAAAGAGCTGATTTAAAAAAAAATGCCATTAAAGGCCTTCCTTCTCATGATGCTTCTTCAGCATTTCTTTTGTTGTCCTTTTCACCTTTTGGTAGTACCCAACTCTTGGCAACTTTAGAGGCAAGTGCTCTCCGTGGTATCATTTCAGCGTTTTTACATGATAGAGAAATGGATTCCAACTGAGACTCTGAGCAGATTTTGTGTCTTCAGACATTATAAAAATGAGCAAGAAGTTACCTGAAGAGAACTTCCAAATGTGATCATGAATGAAGAAGTAGAAGGGTTTCAGCAGGAAGGGAAATGGTCTGTGACATCAAGTGCACATCGTTATGAAAACATTTATGCAAGCAATTCATTTCATCTGCACAATATTCTCCTGACATATGTGACATAATTGTGGTTTATGCCGGATGCCCTTTGGTATGGGTAATTTTATGGCCTGACGATTTATGGAAGGGCCAGAGGAAAAGGAAGGCCAAAAAGTTGATTTTAAGGGGGATGCTAATGGGATAATAAACCAAATTAAAAAACCAATGCATTTATTGCATCAGCTACAGTCATGGAAGCTTGCAGGTTTACATGTGGTTTTATCTCTCCCGCCCTTTATCTTCATGTCAATTAGGAGGGGGGGGGCTTGTGTGAGGCATTCCTTCAAATTACTTTCTGGGCCTGGACTCAAGCTCTTTTGGTGATCCATAGTTCCTTTTTCCGGTCTTAGAATCTCCTCTGCATTTGTAAATACAGGGGTGGGGGGGGATGAGTTTACAGAGAGCTGCTCCTTAAAGAAACGCTGCTTAATTCCCAGCAGATGGACTCGTGAGGATGAAATCCATAGAGAATCGCAGAGAATAATACAAAAATAAAGAAACCATTACAGAGCATTTCACCGTCTTGGATCATCAAATCCACCTCCCTCCTGGCTGGTGAAAACCTGCCTGATGGTGGCCAATGTATCACTGCAAAAGCATTCACAGCATCCGTCCAGTCCATCTTTCCCCAATTCCATTGTCTCAGGATTTCTTCCGTTCATATTCCTTTCGATCTATTCTGGCAGATCTATACTTTTCACACCAANACCTTAAAGAAGTATCGTTCTACAGAGATCTCAGCCGTTCTTGGGTCGTTCTGCCTGCTGGGATGATGCTTCCACTCCTGTCTCTTCTCAAGGGATCCTAAAGGTTGTTTTGGAGCCTACAGTTTGCAAAAGGTTGTACTAAAAGCTTAAATGTTTACAGCTGAGTCTTTTACAAAATATAAACAGAAAACTAGGATTCTTCCTCATCAGCTTCCTCCTCTCTTCACATCTTGTCAACTCTGTGAATTAGGTATCATGTGTAGTATGAATTACCTTCCAAGAACCATCAGTGATGAAACCAAGTTGTTCTTTTTTGCTTTTAGAAATGTGTGAACCTTCTCTACGTTTTAATCATGGTCACTTCCTTTATAACTACTGGAGCAAATACATAGAAGGTGACAACATTACATTTATTTGTGATATGGGATATTCTCCTGCAAACCAGCAGTCAACAATTACTTGCACAAAAAAATGGGTGGTCACCTGCTCCAAGTTGTGTCATGCCAGGTAAGCTTTAGGAATGTCAGCTAAAATTGCCTGACCTGAAAATGCTTTGCTGTGTGAGTGTGTGTGTATGTGTTGTATGTATATGTGCATATATACACACCCACATATTTGGAAGTGGCATTTCAAACTGAATGTATAAAGGAGAATTTGTGATAATTTAGCAGCAGGGATGACAAGGGACTCATATTTCCACAGGGAATGTATAGGTGTTTATGTACACGCATATAGTTGCGCCTATGCGCCTATCATTTATTTATTAAACTTAATGCCTTCTATTACTTAGGTCTATTGAATATTCCCCCTTAAAAAGGTAACTTTTGATTTGAAGAAAAATATTTCAGATGAAGTTTGTTAACAATTAAAATTGTTTTCATTATTTTTTTTGAAGAGAGTGTGATGTGCAAAGGCCCATCATCAATTGTATTGGGCAGTATACAAATATAAAAACAAATGGCAATTATTAAGGAACAGTAAAATAAAGAAAAGTATAGTAAACATCAAAGTTGCATGATAATACCTTTTATTATATATTTTGCAACTAAAACAATTCACTAACACCAACACATTTTAAAACTTCATTGTGTGTATGTGTGTGTGTGATAGCTCGTTTGTTGGGTGTATGAGTGTATGAATGTGAGAGAAAATGTGCCCACTTTTATTGTATTATTGTATTTTAATAACTATTGTGGGGTGTGCCTGAAGAGAGTGTTTGATTGGTGAGTATGATAGGACCGGGAGTGTGACCTGAACTCCACTGAGTGCAGAAGCAGAAGTGGATGGGGGCCCAGACTCGCCTCCCGTCCTGGAGTGAATGGTATGCGTGGCTTGCCGGGAAGAATGGGGACCATGGGGGATGGAGGGGGGTCTACGGGGATGGGGGGATGTTGGAGCATTTTGGTTACAACTGGGAGGGGCAGATATGACGGGAGCTGTATGGCTAGCCATTACCGGGGAAGAAGAACTCGCTACATTACAGCGATTCCTTGTTCCGGCCCCTCAGGCTCAACTCAAGGACCTGGTGGCAGAGGAGTTCAGGGCCCTGGTCTCAGGTTGTTNTTGTTTCTAGCCTAATCTTTATTGCCCTGCTTACAGAAACTGCCTTTCCGGTTAACCCTTATTCCGTTGTAACAGCTAAGGCGAAGCGCCCCTCGACCTGAGTGACCTTGAGTTGGCCATGCCCACACAATCACATGACCACCGAGCCATGACTACCCAGCTGGTCATTAGTCCAGAGAACTGGTTGTTAAATTATTTGAATCCCACCTCTGTTCATATGGTTCAGGATTGCCTCAATATTAACAACAATAAGCTCATTAAAATGAGCAATAAGAACAGGGGCCAATCTTCCATACTTCAAAGTGCTGAGAAGTTTTGCATCATATTTCAACAAAAAATTCAACCCTCCAGCCACCTCAAATTTCATTCCATTGCAACTCAGTCAACTCATAATGTCTTTACAGAAGATTCTGAGTTGAGCTGTTTGTTCTTAGCTTGAAATAAACAACACCCTCTGTTTGCGCCCCTACAAGCCAGTCCTCTCTATAGCAGAACCATGAATTGGTTATCATTAATATGGTGGTATAACTTGGCTTCTTTGATTTTGGCCTGGAGCTACCCACTGCAGTTTGTAAACCAGCCTGATTTTCTTGAGAGTGGAATAGAAGGAAACCAGTGGACAAATTAGCTCCCTTGAGAAGATTTGCATTATTTATCCTTAGAATTTTTATAGGGAAGTTTCCCAACAATTGCATCTCATTTTCAAAATTCATAAGTCTCTGTTGTAAACACCTCTGCAACATCCATACTTTAAAAATTCTATTTAAAAACACAGCATTCATCTTGCCATGGAAGTCCAGTCCATCTTTCCCCAATTCCATTGTCTGAGGATTTCTTCCGTTCATATTCCTTTCAATCTATTCTGGCAGATCTATACTTTTCACACCAAGCACTTTCTTGGAATATGATCTGGCAGCAACATATCCCAATTCATCAAGTTGCAAATCAAATACATTTGTTATTTCTTGCTTTTGGATATAATCCTGAGAGCCGAAGTGGCGCGGTGGTTAAATGCAGCACTGCAGGCGACTTCAGCTGACTGCAGTTCAGCAGTTCAACGGTTCAAATCTCACCGGCTGAAGGTTGACTCAGCCTTCCATCCTTCCGAGGTGGGTAAAATGAGGACCC